GCTTGCCAGGCAAGCACTTATTCTACTGAGCCATCTCCCCGGCCGGAAAAACTACTAAATGTTAAATCAATATAATTAGGGAGTTACTCCAAAATAGTGGCATGAGTTATAAGAAAATGTGTTTACAGCAGAGTCAAACTGAAACTCTTAATACTGGAACACTTAAAATAAACTCAGTTCAAATGCTCACCCAACTGGACAACAGCTAGAGAGACCCTGCTGTGAACAGCACAGTAAAGTACTGTATGCTGGCTGAAATAGCCCAATAGCACATATTCATGTGTATCCACCTAGTACAACTGAACTAAGAGAACATTCTCTAAACTTGCACGTGGCCACCAGCAGGCCTGCCCTGCTGAAAGCAGAGCTCCACAATACAGACCACTCACCGCTGAGCTACATGCTGCCCCAACTGAGGACCTGATGTGCTCCCCACCTTGTGGCTACACATAATCCAGGGACCACCCAGCCTGACTCAAGACATACAGCTGCTTGATCCCACTTGTGTGGGGATGTGCGGGAAAAAATAAAACCCGGGACTGGAGTGTGGCTATATAGCAGAGCACTGGCCTACCACACAAAAAGTCATGCATTCTGTCGCTATACTGCAGAACAAAAGAAAAAAGCCAAAGAACTCACATGGTCACTACGGAGACCACCACCTCACGTAACTGAGGGAGGGACCAATACTATGCAATGAAGAACCTCCCCAAAGCCACATGCTTGGAGACCCTCACTGAGAACAGGTGTATCGGGCCTTAGGCATCAGACACCTTCCTCAGAATCATAGAGACATCCCTTTCTGCATCCCTAAGCCACCCCAGGCCCTGCACACATCTGTCCTAGTGGTGTTCCCAGCAGGAAAGTGGCTGCTGCCACCGACATTTCTCCCGTTTCCTTTCCCTCCCCTCCTCTCCTTTCCTGGTAGCCCAGGCTGGCCTCAAACTTGTGGTGATCCTCCCACCTCAGCCTCTCAAGTACTGGGATTTCAGGCTTGCACTCCACACCTGACCCATGTGCTTCTAAAGTCCCTCATGCGGACCCAGTTTCAGGTCCCTCTCCTGGGAGGAGAAGAAGGGACCCTTGGTTGGGGCTATGTGCCCGGTATGCCCTGGAGGTTGTGGGGATGAACCAGCCAAGCCCAAGCCAGACCCCATGGTGCTCACCTGGGCAGGAGTCACTCTGTGATTCCTGAAGCTCAGCACTCTCACAGTCCTCAACCCACAGCTCATCCCACTGCTCCAGGTGAGAGACAAGGTTGGGTCTGGGGCCGCAAAATCCTTCTCAAAAGAGAGAAAAAGTGTTTTATTTATGCAGAAGACAAAGTGCAGGGTATGGCTCAGGCTAGCTCTAGGTCAGCACAATGTGAACCAAATAGCCAGATTATTCTTAAGAGATTCCTGGCAAAGCTCCTAGGAGACAGACAGGACAGGACAGGAAGGAGAAGAGAGTCTAGACACCAGCATCCTATCTCGGTGTGGACCAGACTGGGTGCAGGAAGGAGCCCGAGCTTCTGAGCCCTGCATGCAACCTCACCCAGTGCCACCAGGCTCCTGAAATTGTCCAGCATCACGTTCCGGTAGAGGGTCTTCTGCCTGAGGCTGAGACACTCCCACTCTTCCTTGGAGAAGTACACGGCCACATCCTCGAAGGTCACTGGCAACTGAAACATGCATGGCGGCTCCAGGACTAGCTGCTCCTGAGAGAGGGTGAGAGACAGAGGTGCTGAAACCCAGCATCCACAGAGGGAGAGGGTGAGGGCAGGTGATTCCAAGGAGGAAAATTCCAAGAAGCCCACAATGAAGTACAGCAAAGGCACCGGTTATGGACAAGACGTCTGTGTCCCCAAATTCAAATGGGGCCGTATCCCCCAGCCTGACTGTACTGGAAATGAGGTCTCTAAAGAAGGAAGCAAGGTTAAAAGAGCTCCGATGGTAACATAGTCTCCTAGGAAAGCAGAGGCCTCCCTGGCTCTCTGCCTCACATAAGGACACGGTGAAAGACTAGAAACTAGCTCTCACTAGAAACTGAACATGCTTGCAGATTGATCTTAGACTTGGAGCCCCAGAACAGGGAAGTGAACAACTTCTGTTTAGTCTGCCCAGATTGGTACTTGGGGGGGGGGGTGTAATCCTGGGAATCAAACTCAGAAGCTTGTGCTTGCCAGGCAAGCACTGTGCCACTCAGCCATCTCCCTGGCGGTATTTTGTTTTTATAAACCTAAGCAGCACTTAAAAGACTCAAACATACTTTCCAAGCTTCCTATCACACCTATTCTGCTCATAATGTATGTGAATTAGATTCTTTCTTTTTTCTTTCTTCCCTATGAACAGAACAAGCAAAAAGGCAGACCAGAGCAGGAAGCCCCCATGTCCGTGCTGGAGCCTGAGGGTCTAGTGGGGCAGAGGGAGGCTGCAGGCTCACCTGGGACTCATCCATGGGAACAGCAGTAGCTGCCCACACTGGGGAAATACAGGTGCCAGAAGCAGCTGGTCTGGGGACACAAAGAATATGATCATGAGCAGCTGGCCTAGGAACCCACCTAACCAACCTGCAATTCCAGGGAGTTCAGGAAAAACCAGTGATGCCCCCTCCACACGGCTATAGTACACACAGAGCCAGGGAGGTGCTCAGAGCGCACAAGGCTCTGGAACACCAAGATGCAAGTGTCACCCGGCACTAGGTGAGGATGAGACCAGCTACTTCCAGCTGAAAGCTAACAGCTGGGCTGCAGACATGCCATTAGAGCACTTGGGACTAAAACCCAACAGAGGAACTGGGGTTCTAGGCAGGCAAAGCTGGCTATTCCCAAAACACTAGGCATGAAAAATGTCCCAGGCACTTTCTCACCAGAGGCCACAGTCAACCTCCCTCCTGCTCCATGGGGCAGCCCCAGAAACACATTAGTCTCTACTGAGTTTCTGAGTGGGCCAGGTGCTCCCCTAACCTGCTGCAGGGATGCTTCTGCCCCAGGCTGTCTCTCCAGGGAAGCCGAACTCCCAGGATACAGGCGAGGCCAGTCCCAAGTCACACAAAAAAGAAGCTTCAGGAAAAGTCTACACCTTATTACCACATCAGAGATGAAAAGAGGTAGTCTCATCACTAATCCTGGGCATAGCAGGAGTCCCCTAAATGGACATGATGAACAACTTTGTGCTGACAAACTCAGCAATGTCATGAAATGGACAAACGCTCTGAAAATGACAAGGCAAAGGAAGTCCAGGCTCCACCTGTTACACTTTCCAGTGATGTCAGCACAGCCCTGAACCCCAAACCTTAATTTTCTAGAATAGCCCGATCTCTCTCACAAAGACACAGACATTCTTAAAACATCAGGATGCCAAGCCCAGATATATATAAAAGAATTCTATATCACAATCATTCCAAGAACACAAAGCTGTTTTATTCTTCATTGGCTGGAGCTGGTGACTGCAAGTTTGGGAGGCCCAGCCCTGCAGCAGACTGCCCAGCCAGCTCCTGCTCAGTGGAGCTACCTGTACCCACCACCTCTCATTAACACTATCTCTTCTTCCTCCAGATACCTATAGTTACACCTAACTGTTCAATGTTTTTATACATCTTCCAACTTGCAGCTTGTAGGGTTCCAGCTTATCATGGCTGTAGCCATCTTGGACATAAGATGGCATTTTTGTCTGTTGATTGACCCTGGAATTAAGACAGTCCTCAGTGTGGTATGCAAACCAAGACACCCACTATTTCTTAAGTGACATTTGACATGACAATGGTTTTTGGAAAAGGCCAGGTATATTCTGGTTAAACATGGCCCACCATTGTCCAGTTCAGCATATAAACACCTTCCTTCTAGCTCAGAATGCAGGGAGTCTCTTGTCCTGCAGCTGCCCAGATAGGCTTCTGTCAATAAACTGCATTTTTCCTTTCAAGACCATGGTATCAACTTTAACCACAATGATCACCTATTATGGCTTCTATCTAGTGGTCCTCCAAAGCCTGATGGGGCTCTTGGGAGGTGGCTGGGATTCTGCTGTGTGATACTAGATCAGCCCAGTGATTAGTTAGCATAGTTCTGGGTGTGGGTGATGGATTTACTCAACTGGGAAGACCCACCACTGAGGGGAGGGGGTGGCACCAAGCAATAGGCTGTAGCCTGGGTGGAATAAAAAAGGAAAGAAAGGGTCAGGTGTGGTGGCACACGCCTATAATCCCAGCACTAGGGAGGCTGAGGCAGGAGGATTGCTTCAACTTTGAGACTAGCTTGAATTACATTGCAAGATCTTATCTCAAAAACCTAAAACCTAAGTAATTAAATAAAATTAAAAAAGGAAAGAAGGTTGCTGCTTCCTGCCTGCCACACCATGGTCCTTCTGCCACACTGCACTGCTTTGCAACCAGACTATGGGTTCTATAATCAGTGGGCTAAAATAAACCTATCCTCCTTTAACAAATTTCACTTTTTACTCAGCTGAGTGGTACTTCATTGTTTAAGAATATATACAGGGGCTGGTGAGATGGCTCAGTGGTCTAAAGCACCTACTTAGAACAAGCTAAGCTAAGCAAAGCACAGGGACCGCGGTTCAATCCCCCAGCACCACATGCCAGCCAGCCCCGCCCCCTGGTGGGTTGAGCTGGCCACACACACACAAAATAAATAAATAAATAAATATTTTAAAAAAGAAAAATAAAGAATATATACAAAAGGGCCACAGAGATAGCTCAGCAGAATAAGCACCTGCCTGGCAAGCACAGGGTCCTGAGTTCAATCCCTGATACTGGAAGAAAAAAAAACAAAATACACACAGAAAGCTGGGCTTGGGGGCACGTGCCTGTAATCCCAGCACTCAAGAGTCTAAGGAAAGAGGATTAATTTCAAATTTGAGCTTAACTTGGGCAATTTAGCAAGACTCTGTTCTAAAAATAAAAAGAATAAAAAAGGATGGAAGATGTAGCTCAGTGTGAAGGCCTTGGTTCCATCCCTAGTACCAAAACAAAACAAAACAAAACAACACCCAACCAAACCACTGACCAGATTCCAAGGATGTCAGGAGGTAATATGCCAGGGAATGGGTTAAATTATCACAGCAGGAAGCTGGCCTTAGTGGCATATGCCTGTAATCCCAGCACTTGGGAGGCTGAGGCAGAAGAGTTCAAGGCCAGCCTGGATTACATGGTGAATTCTGGGCCACCTGAGCTACACAGCAAGACCCTGTCTCAAAAACAAATTATCATACCCATGTCTACGTTTTTAGTTCTCTCTAAATTTATCTACAGATTTCACAAACCCATGAAAACACCTTTTAGTAGAAATAAACAGGATAATTATGAATATATATGGAAATGGAAATTGAAAGCACAAGAATAATTTTTGGAAGCAGAGCCTCATTATGTAGTTCAGGGTGACCTTGAACTCACTACATAGTCCAGGGTGGTCTTGAAATTGTGGTAAATCTCCTGCCCCAGCCTCCCAAGTGCTGGGATTACAGGCATGCAACATCATGTCCAGCCACACTATCTGATTCTAACATTACCAATAATAGGGTGTCTCCTCAGGAATTATCCTTGGCAGTTTCTTTGCCTTTCTGAAAGAAAGGCTGCAGTACCACACTAATCTTATGTGGCCTCTTTCTTTTTAAGAAAGGGTCTCACTAAGCAGTTCAGGCTGGCCTTGAGCTCACTTGTCCAGGCTGGTCTTGAACTCACAAGGATCCTCTTGCCTCAGCCTCCAAAAGTGCTGGGATTACAGGCTTGCTCCACCATGCCTGGCTACGTGGCCTCTTCTTTTGCCTGACATTCTAAACAGAAGACCCATCTAAATGGTTAAGATGTCAATTGCTAAGTCTTTTAGAATTACAGAACTCCTATTTGTTGGCCTTTGTAATGCCTCTCTCTAGTCTTTTTTTTTTTTTTTTTAAATGTATGCATGCTTTATTTTATTTTATTTATTTATTTGTGTGTGTGTGTGTGTGTGTGTGTGTGGCCAGCTCAGCCCACCAGGGGGCAGGCTGGCTGGCATGTGGTGCTGGGGATTGAACCGCGGTCCCCGTGCTTTGCTAAGCTTGTTCCAAGTAGGTGCTTTAGACCACTGAGCCATCTCACCAGCCCGTCTCTCTAGTCTTTGATTCTATGTAACAACACAAAACATATAAACTGATGTCAGCTTTCACTGTCAAAAAGCTAGAAGTTTAACTTGGTGTGGTGGTGTAAGACTATAATCCCCAAAACTTGGCAAGCTGAGACAGGTGGTTCATGAATTGAGCCCAGCTTGGGCTCCAAAAGTAGCTAAATCTTATCTTCAAAATTAAAAATAACCCAGGTGTGGTGACACATGCCTGTAATCTCAGCACTCTACAGGCTGAGAAAGGAGTGCTGCAAATTCAAAGCCAGCCTTAACTACATACCAAGAACCTGTCTCAAGAAACCAAAATAAATAAATAAAAAGAAAAAGAAGACTTCGGGAATGTAGCTTAGTGCAAAAGCTCTGAGTTCAATCCCTAGGAACGGCCCCCATACCCAATTATCACATATATCTAAAAAGACCTACAGCCTGAGGACTTTGTGGTGACCCAGCCCTGTCATCCCAGCTACTCAGGGACTTAGACAGGAGGATGACAACTTGGAGGCCAGCCTGGCAACCTAGCCAGACCCTATGTTAAAAACTGTGTGAGCTTTACGCAGTGGCAGTATCACAGCCAATGAAGTGTATCTGAGGTGCGATTACTGCTAATTGAAAAACTGTGTATGGTGGGGGTTCAGCGTACAGCGCTTGCTGGACATGTGTGTGTGAGGCCGCGGGTTCGATCCTCAGCCCGTCAGATGAAAAGCGGGAGGAGGGTTGAGGGGACGACGAAGGATAAAGTCTGCACGACCAAGAGACCTCGCAGCACGCTGACCTCCCGCTCTGCTCCTTTCTGCTCTTTGCGCCCCGCAAAACGGAACTTTGAGGAGAAAACCTGTCCATCTTATTCAAGGCCGGTCCTTGAATGATCATGGTTTCTTCTGCCAATTCTCCTACAAGACCTATTACTCTGCTCCAGCACAGTACCAGCCCTGCACTAGCTCTCGCCGCACACAGCCTTAGATTATTCCGGCAACACACCTACGAAGCTGGAGTAAGCAAGACCGAAACGAGGTGGCACAAAGACACGCAGGCCGAGGGGACAAAATAGAAACAGCCCCTTACATACTGTGCAGCGGGATACGACAGAGGCAGCAATGTAAGTCAAAGGGTAAGATTATTTTTGGCAGAAGAGACGGTCCGGGATGCAGACGGGGGCGAAGGCGGAGGGGGAGGAAAGGACTTCGCCAGCTTACCTGGGGGCCTCACGGAGGCGATGACAAAATTAGAGTCACGGCGCAGCTAGAACCGGGCTTGGACGTCTGAGGAGTAAGGAGTCCCAGAGCCTGATTGGAGCTCTGACGCGCCTGGACAGCCGAGCGCCTGCACGACTTTGGCTCCGCGCGCCTACTTCAACTTCCCGGCGGAAGTGCGCCGCCCAGGAGCCCACTTCCGGCCTCTCTAGGAAGTGCGTCTCGATGGTGCCCGGCCTCCCTAGGCCCCGCCCCCCTGCGCGCACCCGCCCGGAATTTCACCCTGCGCTGGCTTCGAGCGCGCGCGTCTTGCCAGGCAGAAGCGTTGTCCCGCCCGCTGCCGTGGGCCTGCCCTCGTCCTGAGCCAGCTGGGAGCTACTTTGTCCTTTATGCTTAAGGGCAGTTTACGGTCGTGAGTGTACGTGCACTGCAGCCGCAGTGTTTACAAACTTTCGCATGGTTGTCTCGCGAATCTCCGCGACTCTTCATTATGCAAAACAGAAAGGGGGACCCGGGAGACACTAACTCGTCGCTCCCCATTAGCAGGCCTGGCCACACTGTTCTGTTTGAATGATGGGGGCACCAGGTTGGGCTACAAAGGGAATCCCTGCCTCACTCCCAAAGAAAAAAGTTTATTTTAGCTCATGGTTTCGGAGGTTGTTGTCTAGTCCGGGGTGGTGTGGTTCCGAAGCAGAAGAAATAACTTGGTGGAAGGATATGGCAGAAGAAAGCCACTTGCCTCATGACAGCCAGGAAACCAAGAGAGACTGAAATTCAGGGAGAAAGGGACTGGAAACCAGGTAAAGTCCTGAGGATCACATTTCCATGACCCCACTCCCTTCAGCTTGTCCTCTTCTTCTATTTCCGTCACCTCCTCAAAATGTGATCAAATTATGAACTCATCAATGGATGAATCCACTTCTGCAAGCCCTCCTGATCCAATGTCATCCCCTAAAGCCCATCAGATGACAACCCAGCCTTTGGCACATGAGTCTGGGGGAATAAAGTGTTTCAAATCCAATTCAGAACATGGGATTTCTTCCCTGTGTAAGGATACACAGTATTGCATTGTATGGCTAGACCATGTTTTGTGCATCTGCTCGGGCTATTGACAGCCGCTGGAGCCACTGTGATGTCAAATTTGATTCTAAGCATCTCGGGGGCCTGGCCCTAGCTCAGTCCTTTAAGTGGCTGCTTCCACAAAGCTGTCAGCCTCAGGTTGCTGGAGTTCAAACCTCACAACTCTCCCGCTGGCCAAAAGTGCCCTGAAGGCATTCGAGGAACAAAAAAAAAAAAAAAAAAAAAAAAAAATCCTGATTCTAAGCATCTCAGCTGATTTCATTTGCATTGCAAGAATTTGGGAACAGGGCTGGGGAGATAGCTCAGTAGAATAAGTGCTTGCCTAGCAAGTTCAAGGTCATGAGTTCAATCCCCAGTACCGCCAAAAAAAAAAAAAAAAAAAAAAAAAGAATTGGGGAACACTTCATTTCATAAAATAGATTCCTAATTCCTTTTTTTTTTTTCAGAACCAGTGATTGAAATCATGCCCTTGTGCTTGCCAGGGAAGCGCTATATTTCATAAAACAGAACAAATGTTCTGATGATCTGAGCGGAGTTTGGTTTTATAGATAAAGGTTAAAAATGAAAGCAGAAAAAAAAAAAAAACAAGAGCAGATTCATCTTGGTCGTGCTGTTTGTTTGTTGGCAGGGTCTTGCTTCATTGTGCAGGCTGCCCTTGAACTTACTATGTACCCCAGGCTGGCCTTGAGCTTACCTTGATCCTCTGTCTCTGCCTTGAAAGTGCAGGGATTATAGGTGTGCACCACCAAGCCCAGATTTTTACTTTTACTTTTTTTCTCATATTCATTTCAGGCTGGGGAGATGGCTCAGTGGAATAAGCGCTTCCCTGGCAAGCAGAAGGGCCTGAGTTCAATCCCCGGTTCCGCAAAAAAAAAAAAAAAAAAAAAAAAAAAAAAAAAAAAAAGTGGTAAGCTCATATTCATTTCAATGTTACTTTCCTCCTAAGTCAGAAACAAGGAAACAGACAATAGAAAAAATAGCTATCAAATACTCCAAGTTTTTTTTGATAAGGATTAAAGGTGCAGGACTTTATTATGGCCATTCAGAAGCATTCTTGTGATTTTTCAAAATGTCAGGTTAGCCCAACGTGGTGGTGTGAGCCTGTGATCCCAGCACTTGGAAGGCTGAGGCAGAAGGCTTGTTGAGAGTTTGAGACCAGCCTGGGCTACAAAGTGAGCTCAAGGCCAGCCTGAGCTGCACAGTAAGACCTTGTCTCAAAAAGGCAAAATAATAATCATAGTAATAATAATAATAGCAGCTTGGCTTCAGTGTAGTGGTATGTACACTATAGTGGGACTTCAGTGTGATAACATCATTTTTATTTTTAATCAGATCTGCGAAGGCCAAGTGTAGGAGTCTAGTGTCTCCTGTAGGTCTCCTGTAATTTTTATTTAATAGTGAATCATGCTGCTGTGTACAAAGGAATAGGATTATCTGTCTTTTGGGGGGTATGGTTTGGTTGCTTTTGGTTGCTTTGAGATAGAGTTTTGCTGTTTACTTCAGGATGGCTTTGAACTGTTTAATCCAAACTGGCCTCAAACTCAGCAATCCTGCCTCAGCCTCCCAAGTGCTGGGATTATAGTCTTGTACCACCATGCCCAGCTTATGACTGTCTCTTGAAGTACTGCTTTCACTTCTTCTGGGTATAATAAATCCAGAAATGGAATCACATATGGTAATTCTATATTAAACCATATCATTTTCCATAATGGTACCATTTATGCTCCTGGCACAGCGCACAAGGGTTCCCACTCTTTCACATGTTTATCAACACTTGTTATTCTTCTGTTTGGGTGTTTTGGTTTCTCTCTTTTGCTTTGTTTGGTTTTTCAACAGAAGTCATCCTAACATGCGAAATGGTAGCTTACAGTGGTATTGATTTGCATTTTTTCCGAGAGTGATATTTGTAAGAAATAAAGACATAAAGTAGTGTATTTTCAGGATAAGGTGTTTACCTCTGAACAGGAAAACTACTATTAGCCTGCAAACATGACTGTGTAGGAGTGACAGGTACTTTTTGTTCTTGTTCATTGTACACTTTGAACTTCATGACAGCTTTATCAACTTCATGTTCTTATTCATCATCCAACATATAACCTTTAGCTCTGTGCTAATAACTAGTAGGTGTCTGTAAACATTTGGAAAGTAAATACACAGCTAATAACTTACTGCTCATTTGAATGACAGGGAGTGACACATGCAAGGGCAGGAGAGAGCACTAGGGACAAAAGGAGTAGGGATCTTGCTTGTGTATGATAATAAGGGGTGCTCATGCACAGAATAACAGTGGGACACCATCAGGGAGGCAGGGAGACAGGCACTAAGAGATTCAGAGAGATGGAAAGGGTTTGGTTCTTGATTTATTCTTTTTTTTTTTTTTTTGGTGGAACCAGGGATTGAACTCAGGCCCTTGTGCTTGCCAGGCAAGTGCTTATTCTACTGAGCTATCTCCCAGGCCCCTCTTGATTTATTCTTATTCTGTTAGAAAGCCAATGGAACTGGCTGTGTGCCACATACCTATAATGGGAGGCTGAGACAGGATGACTTCAAATTGTTTTCTTTCTTTTTCTTCTTCAGGAGAGGGTCTCAGGGCCAGCCAAATAGCTCAGTGGATTAAAGCACCTGCTTAGGCAGACACAGGAGCCGGGGTTCAATCCATGGGCCTGCCATGCTGGCCCCACCCCCGGGGCACGCTGAGAAGGTGATTGAGACTGGGCATGGTGGCACACGCCTGGAGTCCTAGCACTTGGGAGGCTATAAGTAGGAGGGTCACTATGAGTGCAATCTACATAATGAGACCCTGTAGACCTGTAATAAATAGAGGGGAAAAAAACAGAGAGAGAGGGTCTCACTATGTGGTTCAGGCTGGCCTTGGATTTGCTATGGAGTCCAGGCTGACCTCAAACTCATGGAGATCTTCCTGCCTCAACCTCCCAAGTGCTGGGGTTACAGGCATGTGCCACAAAGCCTGGCATAAATAGAATGAAATAGAGTACGTAATGGATTTACATTTGAGCAGTCACTGCGCATGGTTGCTCAGAACTCTGTGTAAGCTACTATCACCTGTCACACCACTCAGGCTGCTGGGGCTCAATTCTCAGTGATCACATGGTAGGGCAGCACCCACTAATAAACTGCCCAGAAAACCTAAGGGAAAACATGGCGGAGGCAGCAGGGGTGTGGAGGTGGCTGACTGCACAGGGACACAGGCTGGTAAAGTCTCATGGCCTCTGTCTTAGGGCTAGCCAGGAGATAGGGGCTACATGGTGATCTGAACAAGTCTAATATAGAGCTCTATGTGTCACAACAGAATGATCTAGAGTGCTTATGAGGACCCACAGGCTAAGGGCTGAGGCTGTGGGGAGGACCCATGGTGTGTTTGCAGAGGTATTTGGGGGCACTGTGGTCACATCTAGCTAGAGCCCGGCCATGCCATGGCTCTAGTCAATGGGCAACACACTCATGTGGCAGGCCAAGGACAGCAAACCGGAACACTCTGGGATGTTCCAGTGGGCTGTGAATGGGGTACCCGGCCAGTGGAGCATCTGCAAAATGGCTGGGAAGGGCCTGGACAGCACTGGGACTCGCTGAGCACACAGCACTTGGAAACCACAGGCAGCCTGCAGGAGTGGCAGCAGAGGAACCCAAGTGGAAAGCAGGGCACCTTTGCCTGCAGTGTCCCTCTGGCACCCTCTGCTGACACATTTTAACATTATAAACTATAATCTCAGGACTCAGGAGGCTGAGGCAGGAGGCTACTTGAAGTTCAAGTCAGCCTGAATTACATTGGGAGATTCTGTCTTTTTCTTTTTTTTGGAGTACCGGGGATTGAACTCAGGAGTCTACTGAGTCTACTGAGCTATCTCCCTGGCCTGAGATTCTGTCTTAAACAAAACAAAACAAAACAAAAAACTTCAAGAGCCCAGCTCCATTTCACTGGGCAAGCAGCTAACCATACATTCACGATTGGGAGACAGTATGTGGACAGCTGGAGTTTCCAGCTCAGCTGGGCAGTGGCGCCCTACCCTAACATTCAGCCTCCACTCCCCTAAGCATTCTTGGATGGTGTACAGTGACAGTCACCT